TTAACATTTTCTAATGGTGGTGTGCCTCGTGATTTTTTTCATGAAAAAAGTGTGCCATTGCACAAAAAAGTTTGAAAAACACTGACTTACAGAATGGTAAAGATCTGTCCAATATTGAGGTCGACGTTGTTCAGTTGAGCAATAAAGACAGCAGCTACACACTGGAAAATAGCAGCTCCGTCCATATTCACAGTAGCCCCAATAGGCAGAATAAATCTACTAATCCTTTTGTCTACTTTGTTGTTATCTTCAATGCATTTGATCATTGATGGAAGAGTTGCAGAGCTAGATGTGATCAAGGAAGAAGCACAAGAACGTCAAGTCCAGCAATGTTCCTGCAGCCCAAAATATAAGCATTTGTCTGTCAGCCTAAATAGATAATGTAACATTCCAGATACGGGCTGTTCCTGAAAATTAGGACAAAAGATTCTACTTTATTCATTTCCAAAACAAATGCCTGAATCTTATGAGAAAAAATAAAAAGGGAGTTTTATTATACATTTTTATTATTATGTCCATTTCAAGTTTCTATTATCTGGTTTAAAGAAACATTTTTACAGTCAAGCACCTTAGTATTCTCAAATTGTTACTTTCCGCACCCTGTAAGATACTATAATATAGCCATTAAAACCTTTGCCATCAAGCCATATTTTTCCATATAGCGACACAGACTATCTATACTCCATTCTAAAAGTCTGCCTTACATTTTAATAAATGTAAAGTCCCTTGTTTTACAAGAAAAGCCAAGTTACATTATTACCCTAAATTCAAACAATGTCATCCTCATTTCAGAAATAGAAGCAAAAAATCCACCAACCTGGAACAAGTAGCAAATGCTGTGGTGAAAGGAGTTATAAGTCCTAACAGAAAAGTGAAAGGGTTTTTGCGTGTAACTGCAAAATAAATAAGTGGTAAAATAATCCCTCCATGAATAATATGGCCAAGAATTGATGCAAAGATGTATTTTCCAAGGCTTGTCACCAGCAGGATAATATTATCCATTTCCACAATCTTGCTTCCAACTAGAAATGTAATGCCAAGTGGTACATACCTGAAAAGGAAGCACCGAGTGTTACCATTGAATTCTAAATAACATTCTAATTTTTGACAGAATGAAAATGAAAAAGTCAGTGATTTCTGAAACCCACACTACAGGTCTCAATAAAGAATAAGCATCAGATTGTCGTACAAAATTTCCCTTGGTAAATTGAATCTTTATCTCTTTTTCTGTTGTGGGACATTTATTTGCACATTTGCTACTACTCTTGAGAGAACCAATTAAACTGAACAAATTAAAGCATCAGCAGTGAACACATGTATTTCATATTCAAAGGATAATGGTGTGAATGAGGGTTATTTTCATAAATAATGATTTAAGTAATATGTGACGATGAGCAGAGAAGTAAATGGTATAAAAAGTGATCAAATCAGAAGAGACTGTTTTATAGCTTTTGGGTTGAACCAGAGGTGGGTTCCTTCCAGTTTGGCCCGGTTCAGCCGAGTAGGTAGTAACTCGGCTAGCCACACCCCCGAACTGGTTCGATCAGCAGTGCCTTAGGTGCTGCCATCTTGTTTTTTCCTTCTGCGCATGCGCAGCATTTTTTACTACTGTGTATGCGTGCATAGCGCGCATCAAGTGTGTGCATGTCCAAAGTGCATCCCTGAGCAAACCAGCAGTAGAAGAAGCTGCAACCCACCTTTGGGTTGAACATATGTAAGTTGAAGAAACAGATTAATTTGGTCCAAACTAGATTTTGTTTGGACCAAATTAATGGACAGAGGTTGCTTTTGAATATGGAAGGACAGATGCATGTGAGAGATGGAAATTTAACACCTTTATTGTGGAGATTTCCCAGGGCAAAAAAGCACCAGAATTGCCCGACTTCTAGTTCTTGGTCTGAGGAATTTGTGCAGTGAAGTGATGGCTTGAATGACAAACCAATTGAGTGGCAATGAAAAGCAGAGTTCCTCCTGGACCCACAGCTGACTTTAGAACATCACCTGTCGGCTGTGACCAGGGGGGCATTTGCCCAGGTTTGC